GGCCCAGAGTGGGCCCTTGGCCTGCCCGGGAGATCACAGTCATAAACAGTGGAGGCGGCTGTGAAATTACATCTATCCGATCTGGACTGTGCTAAGCCTTTCATGGACCCCTTACTCCACTACAAAATAATGAAAAATGTATTTTACAACTACGTTGGTATAAAGACAAATATAATCCAGATTGGATTAAAACTTAAACCTGTAAGGTCCATTTTTTCTTCTGATTTTAACAAAAATGAAAACAAAATTTTTGTTTCTAAGTTTTAGGAGTCTCTTGTGCTTGAGGCAGAAATGGGCTCTGCCTTCTTCTTGGGGCTGCTTGGGTGTGGGATGCTGGGAAAGGGCCCTGTCAAACAGCTTAGCCTGGCACTTCACCTTCATCTTTGTCACATTCTGGGGTATTCTGGGGCAGTTGAACCATTTTCTCCTGCACTGGTCAAGAAGAGATCTAGCCCCTCCCCCGTGACAATCTTTTGTAACTCAGTTAAATCCCTGGTGCCCATGGCAGCGCTGGGAACTGGGGCTCCTACCCACCTCCCCCCATCCACCCTCTGCCTTCGGGGCAGTACAGAACGTGCAGTGTCTGGTCCCCATAATGAGATTAGGCCTGGTCTCCTTTTACTGAAACATGGGGGGGCATTCAGGGAAGGAGAGCCATGCTGAGCTCAGTAATGCCCTCAGGGTAGCTGCTGCCCCTGTTTGATTGTATTACATGGATCACTACAGGGGGCTGGGGGGGACTGTCATAGCTCAAGACTCCAGAAGCTGCCAGAGATCTGTCACGCCAGTCCTACACTCTCATAGAGAAAGTAGATTGACTGTCTAAGGGGCTGCGCGAACCCCCTGGTCTGTGAGCAGAGGAAACCTTTGGGGTGGAGAATAGCTGCTGTCCACAGTTCTGCTCCGGGAACACAGATGGCCCAAGAACTGCCAGTGTTCCGGGGGCCACTCAGATGGGAAGGAAGAGTGAGAAAGTGTACTTGCTACCAAGCTTGGGAAAGGAGGGACCATGACTCAAAGGCACTTGCTAGCTAGGGAGTAAATCGCAACAGATTTCAAGGTTTGCAAATGCAGACACGTTTGTGGGCGCATCAGATTCTGTCCAGAGCCACTAGCATGTTTATCCCTAGACCCAGCATGGGACACGTCTCCTCACACACATGTCCATGATGTTGAACTGAAAGCTGCGGGAGTCCTGTTACTAAAGGCACCATTCAGGTTATCTTCTGTAAAGCACAGAATCACTCACTGTCTTTTTTGTGAGTTTGGGCTTTTCACACTTAGAACTTACTGACTGTGACAGGCCTGCTGAGTAGGGCAGTCTTGCCAGGTGTGAGTGGCTAGTTCTCCTGTCATCCCTCACACTCTGACTTCCCAGTGTCACTTTCAAATCAGAAAGGGGTCTCCAAAAGACATTCTTTGTCTCTGGCTTCCTCCTGGATGCCGGGTGCCCTGGGCCCCTGGATGTGGACAGAAGAGCTGCTTTGGAGTGAAGTGAAATGAAGATCTTGAACTTGCTCATGGAAGCCGCCCTCTTACCCTGGAGGAGGAAGCGGGAGCACAGGCATGGGAGGGGAGCACGGTCTGAGCACACAAATGAGTTGGGCAACTATTTACTAATGGTAATTTGGGGCATCCAGTTTGTCCTCTTTGATCTACTTCCTCATGTCAAATTGAGGTGATTCTCGTATTATCCGCACAGTGTTACTTGAGGGTTACACAAGAGCGAAGTGCCTAGTACAGGCAGGGCATACACGGACCACACCCTGCACCTTGTCAGGGTGCAAACAGCATTCCGGTTCAGACTTCCTGGGAATCCAGGACAGGAATTTCAGGGGAGGATGTCAAAGCCACACGTTTAGTTGTTATACTGTGAAGAGAACGTCACTCTGATTTCTGTCTGTCTTGCCAGGAGCTGCAGGGGAGAAGCAGGCTGTGGCGACGTGATGGTTCTTTTGCTCCCCTGAGCTCACTGATCCGTGTTGTGTACCCCACCAGGCGTAAAGTTGTCACCGGTTGACCAGTGGTGGGAGATGTTCCTTCTGTTCTTCCTAATTTGGAGCTAATCAGATTGTGACTGTGCTCTGGGCTCTCTGGGGATGAATCTAATAAAGGAGGCGGTGACCTGGAGAGGAGGACAGATGACAAGTGACTGGAGGGGGACAGCATTTCTCCTTTCAGTACATTTTCCCCATTAGAGTCACGCCAATGTGTCATATCCCCAAGGAATCCTGAGGAAGAGCACGGCTCCTCGCAGCCCTCTCAGAGTGCACAGGGCACTCACAGAGACGCTCCAGGACAGACCAAAAAGGGTAAGGAAGCTCCAGGCAAGCCTGGGGACACAAAGGAAGGGCCAGTACTGGTGGTTAGGGCCTGGAGGCATTGGCAGGTAGGGCAGTGGTGGCGGCAACCTCTGAGCAGGTGGCAGGGAGCAAGGTGCAGGGCTGGGTTGTGATTCAGGGAGTCGGAGAGGCTCCTCTGAGTGGACCTGGTGAGCATAGTGGGGGCTGCAGAAAGAAACTGAGGCAGGATCGTGTCACAGATTTGGCATCTCACTGGCAGGCAGTGGGTCATTTTGTACAGAGGACAAGATGACTTAGGGAGCTGGGTCAGATTGAAGAGGGAGAAGCCACAGGCCCTGCCTTGGGTGTGGCAGTGAGGATGCCCAGAGCCCCTAGGAAGCAGTGGCCTTGGGTGGCCTGGGCCTGGATGGGCAACCCTGCTGGATGGGTAGGGAGGTCACAAGAGGATTTTGTTATGATGGGGTGGAGCTTACCTTTGGACCTGCTGGGGTGGAGGTGTCCCTGGGATGTCCAGGTAGAGATATGTAGTTAGAAATGGGGTTGGACTCTGTGGGGAGGACAGAGCCAGCACTAGAGTCTGCAGCCATCTGTGTGGATGACAGATAAGGACAGAAGCAAGAGTTCCAGGAATGGGGATTCATTTTGGCCAGAGCTTCTGGAAACCAGGATTCTCATCCACTGTGAGAAGGGGGGTTGGGGGTGTGTTTCAAGAATGTCTCAAAACCCCAAAGAACCCAGCCATTGCTTCAGGAGCCATCTGGACAGTGGGAAGAGGATTGTTTAAGTGTTAGGCTGAAAGCAGAATGTGGGTGACAGAGGATTTGGGTCTTGGTGAAGAGAGGGAACAGCCATTCAGTGCAACAGTGTGAAGTTATTTAAATGATGATGTAGATGACATTCATTGCCAAGAAAAGATACACAATTAAGTTAAAAACTCAGTTAAAAAATGGTATCCTCTGGGCAGTGCCTGAGGCTCAAAGGAGTAGGGCGCCAGCCCCATATGCCGGAGGTGGTGGGTTCAAACCCAGCCCCAGCCAAAAACTGCAAAAAAAAAAAAAAGAGAAAAGGGTATGCTCTTGTTGAGAATGTGTGGTGTGGGCTGGGTGAGGTGGCTCATGCCTGTAATCCTAGCACTCTGGGAGGCCAAGATGAGAGCGTTGCTTGAGATCAATAGAGCGAGACCAGCCTGAGCAAGAGAAAGACCCCATGTCTACTAAAAATAGAAAAAGTGGGTGGGCATTGTGGTGGGCACCTATAGTCCCAGCTACTTGGGAGGCTGGGTTGCTTGAGTCCAAGAGTTTGAGGTTGCTGTGAGCTATGAAGCCATAGCACTCTACCCAGGATGACAAAGTGAGACTCTGTCTCAAAAAAAAAAAAAAAACCAAAAAAAAACAACAAAAAACAAACCCGCCAAGAATGTATGTGTGTGTGTACATATATATAATATATACATACATACATACATATGTATATATATATATATATATATATATATTTCTAGGGGAGAAGTCTGTAAGAATATAAATCAGTGCGGTGACTTGTCATTTTCTTCCTTTCGGCTTCTCCGTATTCTGTGGCAAGGTGTGGGTGCTAACACTCCCGCACCTTAATGGTGGAGTTGCCAACAGCTGTCAGATGTGGGAGAGGGACTTGGTCCTGGTCACCGGAAGGGTCTGAAAACTAGCTCCTACGCACTGCAGGGTGTGTGCCGGGTGTGAGGGTCACCACTGGTCTGCTGGTCAGTGCCTGTGCTTGCTGCTGTCCCCTGAGATCTGACACTCATTGCTGCTGGGAGGACTGAGGAGTGGGGACAGGCAAGCAGGCAGCCACCTGAAGAGGTCCAGAGCGCCGCTCTCACCTCTGCTTGCTGTGGCGATGGCGTGGCTGTGGCCGGCCTTGGCAGTGCCTTTCTGTGGTGCAGAGGCTGATGCCAGCACCTGAGGCAAAGGGAAGGGAGGAGACCACACTTGTTTCCCCTCCCACTCCTCCCTCCGTCCTGGCTGCCCACCTGGGCATGGTGAAGGCTGGCACCTAGGGCACTTTCAGAGCCCTTTCCACAGCCGCAGTGGGGCTCGCTGTCCCTCCTGTGGGACTGTGGTGAGGGAGGGTGTGGGGGGACATAAAAGGCACCACCCAAGCAGCCGGGAGGCAGCATTTCCTGGTGCCTTCAGTGCTGGAAACCTCAACTGGGGGAGGCATGTGGGGCCAGCCTGTTCTGGGTTTGAGGGGGACAAAGGAGAAAGGGAAGGAGACCGTGCTGTGCCTGTGTGCTGGCAGGTGGCAGGGTTTGGGGGCCATGCTGGGCAGGTGACACCTCATCTCCAGCGTGGAGCCAAAGATCCGGGCACAGGGCAGGGGGGTGCCCCCCTTCTCACCCCGGATGTACTTTATAATCCTTCTGGAGAAAAGATGTGACCAACCTGTACCTTCAAGGAACTTGTTAACTTCTCCGTAACTCACCTGTCAACCCCATCTGAGAAAACACATGGAATAGAAAATAACGCCTGAGTGCTGGGCCCTCTGGCTCTCCAGGAACTTGGAGTACCATCACTCATACCCTCATTGCATTGGGGATGGGTCCCCAGGTCAGGCCTGTGCCTGTGGGAGCTGGGCCTCCCACCAAGCTGCTCCTGAGACTTGGGACCACTGCCCCAGGGTGGCGTGTAGGAGAGCACCAGGCAGGGTTGGGTGTCCCAGGGTGTGTCTTCTGGGGTCTGGGCAGCTCCCCTGAGCTCTGCTCTTTCCTGCAGCAGCCACTCAGCATGGAGAGCGGCACCGGCGCGGCATCCACACCCAGAGCGCTGGCTTACTACGTGGCCTTCTCCCAGCTGCTGGGCCTGACTGTGGTGGCCATGACTGGCGCATGGCTCGGTCTCTACCGGGGTGGCATCGCCTGGAAGAGTGCCCTACAGTTCAACGTGCACCCACTCTGCATGGTCATAGGCCTGATCTTCCTGCAGGGGGATGGTGAGCCCTGGGGCTGCTCCTCCTGCCCTGGCTGCAGGGGTCCCTGAGAACCAGTTTGCAGGGATCCTGTCACCCCGGTCTCTTCCAGTTAGACAAATCTAAGACTCTAGACATACAGAGGAGGAAGCTGGCTTGGAGCCCAGGGAGACAGGATCCAAATCTAGGCCCTAGGCCGGTGGTGGAAGCTCTCCTCCTCCCCACACCGGGGTGTGTGCTTCACGCAACAGGCCTGGGCTCGGGAGGGTTGCACAGGGGCAGGGAGGCGTGTCAAGGCACACACAGCCTGAGGTGGCCTTCATAAAGGGGGACAGGGAGGGAGGCCTGCTTTCTTCCCCAGCTCTTGAGGCTGGGATGCCTGGACATGCTAGGCCCAGATGCCCCCCTCCAGCCCTGGCCTGCCAGCACAGGTGAATGCACTGTCCCCTTTCTCTCCTCCCACAAGCCCTGCTAGTTTACCGTGTCTTCAGGAATGAGGCCAAACGTACAACCAAGGTCCTGCACGGGTTGCTGCACGTCTTTGCCTTCATCATCGCCCTGGTTGGTGAGTCCTGGCAGCACCTTCCCTCTCCGCCACCTGCTTCAGGCTCGGGAAGCAGGTGCTTGCCATGCTCCATCCCCTGCTCCATGGTCCTGCCTTGCCCCCAGCATCCCAGGCAGGGACCCTGGGTGCTAACAGCCACCAAGCTGGGACTAAGGCCCAGAAGTCCCCACTGGTCAGTTCCCTCTGGTCCCCATACCCTTCCCTCTTCCACGTCCCACTCTGCTCTCATATGTCCCCGTCTCTGGTCCAGGCTTGGTGGCAGTGTTCGACTACCACAAGAAGAAGGACTACGCTGACATGTACAGCCTGCACAGCTGGTGTGGGATCCTCGTCTTTGTCCTTTACTTTGTGCAGGTGAGTCCTAGCACCACAGGTCCCAGGGCCACCAGCGAGGAAGGGGGAAAAGGTAGGAGGGGAGGGGAAGGAAGGAGGGCCAAGAGATGAGAGTATGTTAGTACTGTTGGGTGCTGCCTTCAAGTGCTGACAGGGCTGCAAAGTTAGGGTTTGACAGGTGAGGGTGTCTGGTCCCAGGGCCCTTCTGGCTGACTTAGCACACGTGCTTGGCCACATACCAGCTCTCCAAGGATACACATCTGACACTGAGCCAAGGCCTCAAGCTTTGGGAGCCAGGACCCTTTCCCCATGGGGGCTTGTGCCTCTCCCACCACTGTTCTTTAGAGGAAGTAAAGAGCAGGGGAGAGAGGGGTTGCAGTGCTCACGTGGGAGTGGTCTGGTTTGATGTCCTCCAGCTGGCCGGGTGGATGGCTGATCAGTTGTCAGAACTGCCTCTCCTTTCCTTTCAGTGGATTGTGGGCTTCAGCTTTTTCCTGTTCCCTGGAGCTTCATTTTCTCTGCGGAGTCGCTACCGCCCACAGCACATCTTCTTTGGCGCCGCCATCTTCCTCCTCTCTGTGGGCACAGCCCTGCTGGGCCTGAAGGAGGCGCTGCTGTTTAAATTGGGGTGAGTGTCCTGCACAGAGTGAGCCCTGCCCTCCACTCCTAGGGGCATTTTCTTTCTGCGCTGGCCTTTTGTGGACCTAGATAAGCCATGGTTATTCTGTCTGGGAGGGAGACCAGTGGGTAGGGTTGGGATTCCCATAGCATTTTAAGGGCCAGGATCCAAAGGGCCTTTGGCCCAACTGACCCCTTGGGTGGCCTCTCTCTTCAATCCTACCCCTGCAGGGCCAAGTATAGCACGTTCCAGCCCGAGGGTGTCCTGGCCAACGTGCTGGGCTTGCTGTTGGTCTGCTTTGGTGGCGTTGTTCTCTACATCCTGACCCGGGCCGAGTGGAAGCGGCCTTCCCAGGCTGAGGAACAGGCTCTCTCCATGGACTTCAAGACGCTGACAGAGGGGGACAGCCCCAGCTCCCAGTGACAGCCTGCTCCTGTACTGTGGTGGGGCCTGGTGGTGGAGGCTCCCTCAGTTCTGTGGGGGCTCCAGAGGTGTCTATTAGCCCACCCTCTGCTGGCTGTCCTCGTCCTCAGCATTGTGGCTCCCAGGGAGGGGCTCAGGCAGGGTGCGTGGGGAGTGTGGGTGCAGCTGTGTCTATTTTAGTTATTTCCCGGGTAGGGCTTGTCCTCTGCTTTCCCTTTCTTACTGCTGCTGTGAACAGTCTGATTAGCTGTGTGTAGCCCTCTGTCCCTGTTGCCCTCTCCAACATGGCAGGATGGGGGCAGCACTTGGGTGGTCAGTCCTGGTCACAGAGGCACAGACCCCAATAAGTAGTTGGGGAGTGGGTCCCCCCTGAAGGCAGCAGGGGCCTGGGGTAAAGCCAGTGAAACTGCAGGGCCTCAGGGACAGGCCTGGAGGAGCTAAGTCCCTGTAAAGCCCAATTCAGACCAGGAGTCCTAGCTGAATAGCACATGGTCCATATGGGCCGGGTCCTTGGCAGTGGAGCTAGTGATGTTATGTGTAAAGTTTGTTGATGTTCAGAGCAAGGGTCCCCAGGAGAGGGAAAGGACTGGCCCTTGGGAAACACTGGAGATGTGGCTTTGGCCCAGTTGCAGTCTTAACCTTCGAGTCCCGGGATGGCCACACTGGGAGAGGGGATAGAAGCCCATGACTCAGACTTCCCCTGGGCAGACGAAGGCAGCCTGAGCAGGAGGCTCTGGACAGTGGGGTGTCTTGCAGCCCTCTGCTACAGGGGACCCTCCTGTTCCACTTTTCAGCTTGGTCTCCTCTCCAGGCTGCCTCAGGCACTGCTCAGGCTGGGAGGTGGGGGGCACAAATGAACAGCTGCTGCTGCGGCCTCCTTTAGATAGAGCCCCCAGGGGCTGCCTGCTGTGGAGCCCTCCTGCTGGAGTTGTCTGCTCTGTTTGGAGGACCGGTCTTCTCTCTTAGCAGGTGCCCATCTGTGCAGGAAGTTGGGACGAAGTCAGAATTAGATTCATCCCCTATGGTGTCCTGACATCACTCCAACTCCTATGAAGTGTGTTGTTAGTTGAGTCACCATTTGACTTCAGTCTAAAAATAATGTGATTTGAGCATTGATCTCATGCTTCTTAGATTTGGCAAAAGCTTTTGTTTTCCAGGCTTTGAAGAGCCCGACACAGTTTGAGACAGATACAGTTTACTTAAGTGAAAAAATTAATAAAATTTCCAAATCTAAGTACTGTTCTTTTAATGGTTGCCTTTTTCATACCTAAATGCTGCCTTAGGAACACAGGCTAATTGGCTTTTGCTATGAGTCCTGCCTTGGTGATGTTGGTCGCGTCACTTCTGGGACCAGGTGCCTGAGGTCCTACCCTGGGCTGCCCAGGCGCCTCTCCGCCCTTCCTACCTTCTCCTGTCTTGTTGGGATGATAGTGCACACCTACCACTTAGATTGTACACTCCTTGATGTATCATCTGTTTAATCATCTGATGTATATTTGTATGGTCAAATGTTTACATGAGGGAAAACCCCACCTTAGACAACTACCAAAGTATAGCTGTCTATTTCCCTTGCCAGAATGCTACACAGAAATGGAAACTTAGATTTGCACTAAAAGTTTGTAAACTGTTTGCCAGAGTGTATAACCAAGAAGCCAAAGAAGGCCCCCCAAAGCATGTCTGTGGTGGTTTATCTTGCCTGTGGCCAATCTTCTGTGAAGTGCAATGTACTGTTTGTGCAACCGATGATTCAATAAATGTCTACAGCAGACCGCTTGCCTGCTACGTTTGTTTACTGTGGCATTAAAGGGAGGCAGAGCTATTAGTCGGAAACATGAGTTCATTCTACTGGGATTGAGAGGAATTAAATATCCCCTGGCTGGGCACAGAAGGCAAAGTGATGAATGATGTTTATCATGGCACAGGGTTTGAAATGGCCCAGTGGTTGTCCAGTCTCTGGACCTAGTGGAGGCAGCTCTTCCATGAGGTCAGATAAACCGTTTGCTCAACCCAAGGAGATGGCCTGAAGGATGGAGCTGCAGGAAACTGATGAGGGCCTTAGCAAAAAGCTTTGTCAGGTATACAGTTGAACTTTTTCCTTCCGATCCTTACGAGGAGGAGCAAAGCTTTTGGAATAAGCTGAAATTTCACTTCAGATCCATTTGTATGGCTCAGGCAGGACAGTATTTACGGGCAGATTTGGGTGGGATCTCACTGTGCACTTTAAGCAGTGTGGCTTGTCACTTAAAGCTACTCAAAAACTCACCAGAGCTCACTACAGCAGACCTCTCAGAAGGTAATGAGGATAATTGCTTGCTTACGCCTGCTGAAACTTTCTGCACTGCGGCTGGGCTGGTGTCTAACGTTCAGGAGCTCCAGCTGAGAGGGGTTTCCTTTGCGCATCTGTAGAGTCTTTCAAAGCTTCTGTGTGGACCTTCATTTGCTTAAAAACATTCAAAGCACATGGCTTGGTACCTGTCACAAGCTGATTCCTCGGTCAAGAGCAGGGCTGGCTCTTAAGTGTGAGGGCAGTGGGATCTTGACCCTATTATGTGCCATCTCTCTTCTGGCTTTTTGGGCTAGCCCCTGCCTCTACTGGGTCAATTGTGTTTATGAATATTCAAATGACCCAGACACTAGAGGATGATACCAGAGGGCTACTTCTTCACTGTCTCCTCTGGGAATCTCAACTTAAATGACAGCAGGGATCTTATCTTCTTGCTGGGATTGGAGCCCTGAGAGATCCCATAGCTAGTCCTCTTGCCGGTGGCATAGCATAAATTCTCCCAAGGAGCACAAAGCAGCATGTCCTGAGCAATCCTGACCCAGCGCCTTCTGGTGTCATCCGATGTTTGCTTTTCTTGGATTTACCCCTTCAGAGAAAGGAGGCAGTATGGTTGATAGGGAAAAGTTTTCAGGGCAGATCTGACTCAGTCTTACCTTTGCCTCTGTGACCTTGAGCACCTTCAACTCCTAGGATCTGCTTCTGTATTTGTGTTCTGGAGATAGCAATGTCATCTGTCAGACATGTGTGTGAGGAATGTATTAGGGAACATACAGAACGTCCCCATGGTGTCTGGGACATATGAGTGTCTCAAGAGAATGATCTAGTGGGATGGACTCTGAGCACTTTCTTTTCTAGGAGAGAAGTCCTGTTTTATCATAGGACTGCTAGACATGATGCCATTATTATCATGCCCTCTCTCATTCCTAGGAATGGAATGACTCAGTTGCCAAGGCTCTCCAAGTTCCTCCAGCTTCTGTTCTGAAATATGAATGAGGATGACACTCCAGCCCCCATTTCTGCCTACCCTTTCCCAGCCTGGGGCAGGGGGATCTGGCCTCCCATGCGCACATGTACCCTGAAACTTCCTGTAATCAAAGGGCACCTATTAGGGAATGAAAATAACAAGGGGAAGAGAGTCTGATTAGTACTTCTGAGAATCAGCAAAGATATCTGCTGAGTTTGCTGTTTGCTTTTTACTCTGAGTGGCCTTTAGTTCAGGTTCAGGGAAAATTCTCTTTAAGAATTAGTTTTCTGGGGCTCGGTGCCTGTGGCTCAAGTCGCTAAGGTGCCAGCCACATACACCTAAGGAGGCGGGTTCAAATCCAGCCCTGGCCTGCCAAACAATGATGGCTGCAACCAAAAAAAAAAAAAAAAAATAGCCTGGCGCTGTGGCAGGTGCCTGTGGTCCCAGCTACTTGGGAGGCTGAGGCAGGAGACTCGCTTGAGCCCATGAGTTGGAGGTTGCTATGAGCTGTGATGCCACAGCACTCTACCCAGGGGGACAGCTTGAGGCTCTGTCTCAAAAAAAAAAAAAGTTTTCTGGGTTGGGCATGGTGGCTCATGCCTGTAATCTTATTACTCTGGGAGGCTGAGGTAGGTAGATTGCCTGAGCTCACGGGTTCAAGACCAAGGCTTGAGCAAGAGTGAGACCCCATCTCTAAAAATAGCTGGGTGTCGTGGTGGTGCCTGTAGTCCCAGCTACTCAGGAGGCTTGAGATAAGAGAGTAGCTAGAGCCCAAGAGTTTGAGGTTGCTGTGAGCTGTGATGCCATGGCACTCTACCGAGGGCAAAAAAGTGAGACTGTCTCAAAAAAAGAAAAAAATTACTTTTCTATGAATCGCTACCATCCTCCTTATCCCCAATGCCCCTAGAATTTTCAAAAGCTGGGGGTTTGCCAACCATTTTATACATTTTGGATGTTTAATAAAATAACTGGAGCAGCCTAGGAATGGCTTTCAGGCCAGGCAGATGGTGTCCTCGAGTTTTCCTGCTACTCAGACTTTGGTTGTTTTGGGAAATGGATGTGGTTACACAGCAGGAATGTTTGTTTAGCATAAGTCTCATGTCTAGAGGAAGTGGTCCACGTTTTTGCTTGTTCCTGAAGTAGACAAAGAGATAGCAGTTAGGCAGAAAGTTTCCAGGGCTTAGTTCTAACTGAGTCAGAACTGGTATTGAGTCTCCAGCCCATTTCAGAAAATCTGTGACCACAATGTAGCCACCTAGTTCTCTACATGGTAAGGATTGGAAGTTAAGATTTCTGGGGGAAAAAAAAGCCTCTGGAAGCAGTGATTCTCCAGGTTTGTCTGTTAGCCTTTGGAGCTACAGTGAGGACTGTTCTCTCCACTGCTGCAGATGCAGACTCCAAAGTTAGCCACTCAAACTAGCAGCTCACTGTTGGTGAGGTGGCTGGATTGGGGGATAGCTTTAGCTATAAAAATGAAACAAGGAGAAGAGCTCAATGCTCCCTAAGGTATAGTTGGAGGAAAATTCCTTCCACTAAAGAAAGAGCCTCCCTTTCTCAACAAATCAAGCAAGTCTTTGCTAACAAGTCCTTAGAACTGCATCCTTTCTTTTTTTTGAGACAGAGTCTCACTGTATCACCCTTGAGTGCTGTGGTGTCACAGTTCACAGCAACCTCAAACTCTTGGGCTTAAGTGATTCTCTTTTCTCAGCCTCCCAAATAGATGGGGACTACAAGTGCCTGCCACAACGCCTGGCTATTTTTTGTTGCAGTTGTCATTACTGTTTAGCTGGCCTGGGCTGGGTTCAAACCTGCCACCCTCAGTGTATGTGGCTGGCACCGTAACCGCTGTGCTATGGGTGCCGAGCCACTGCATCCTTTCTTGTCTGCACCCATCTTGAGGGTCTATCACACGTTGAATTCCAAGAAAATGCTCAATAACTTGACTAAGCAAATTAGTGAACGAAGAGGGGACTCTGACTGTGCCATGATGGATCAACCAAATCACCAGGAATTTGGCCTTACCCAAAACTCTGCAAAATTCTTCCTTGGGGGAGGCATCTTCACCATGACTACCTCTGTGAGGCTGAACTTAAAGAGTCAGCTCCTTGGAGAAAGATTGTAATGGAAGGAGAAAAGCACCATAATGCCATGTTTTTCCAAGTGTTAGCCATTTATAAATAAGTACATTTGCTTTCATACATACAGTTCATTGTACAGATGACGATCTGTATACATGGGGCAGGAAAATGCATTCGTTTGAACTTTTCACATCTATCTCACACAGCTCACATGTACAGACAATAAAACTGCTCAAGCAAGTACAGCAAAGGAAAATGTCTTTCCTTATACACAGGGGGCTAGATGCCTCTGTTGGGTGTGGGACATCCCCACTGCACGAGTTCACAACTGTGTGGTGTTCAATATATCAGAATAGAGAACAAACATGCATTGAATAATATACTGTACAGAGAAGTCCTTTACATCTGAGTTATAGAAAACCTAAAGGAAAACTAAGTGCATTAAAGCTTTTTCCAGCAAGTGTCTTGAAAGGACAGCAAAGAGGAGGAAAAATCAAAACCATATTAGTACAAATCTCTCTTTAATTGTAGACTGTACATATCTGTACTAATTAAAATCATCTTGGATTTGGAGGAGACGGAACAGAGACAAAGACGCTGTGCTAGATGGAAGGAGGCCATGCCTGAGAATGGCACCTGCCCTGAGCCTGACAAGGAACTGGCCCCACTCAGCAGGAATCAGCCAAAGGAAACAACAAAACAAAAACAGGCTAGGAAGTGTGACTTACAGGATTTTCAAAAGAACCTGTGAGTGAAGTGGAGATCTGGAGCCGGCATCTCTAACTCTCCCCCCACCCCCGCCCCCGTAAATTAGTACACAATAAGGCAGGCACATTCAAGTACTGAATTTTCCCAAATTAATTCTTATCTGGTCCTGGGGACCAATGGGAGTAAGCTGAGGCCCCTAACCAGATTTTCTGGCTAGTGATTAGAAAGAAAAAAAAAAATTCGGCCAGCAAGTGCTATAAAAACAAAGCCGCTAGGGCACTTCCTTCCCACAGAGCAGGTCTATCTGAAAAACTGGCGCTGGCCTGCATCTATTTGCATCCAGCTGTAGCCTGGCAGGTCAGCTTAGTGTCGGTACCACAAAGCCAGCAGAAGAAATGAGATGATATGGGTGAGAAAACATGAAAGTAACACTTGATTTTTGGTGTCCAATTATGCGTTCATTTGGTACTGATTTTCAAAGCTCTGACTGGCCATCATTTGGCCACAAGCATCTCAGGGTGGCTCAGCTGCTGTGAGGCATTGGACACCGAAATGAAGGTTACCAACACTTCAGCCCTTGAGTGGTCTGTGTTATAAAAGAAGTTGATGAAGACCAAGTGATTATTCAAGTAGCTCTGCACAGTGGCTCCACCAGCCCCATTGTGCTTGTGTCCAGTCCTCCAGACAGTCACCTTTTCTTGGGAGCAGTCAGAGCTGAGTTCAAGGCATTGCATGGTGAAGGTTTCCATGACACGTCTTTGTAGGTAGCTCTTACCCCTAAGCCCTTTTTGTTCACTGTTAGTCATGGTAGATGGTCGGTCTGGAATTCCTAGAGGAAAAGGAGAAGCCACACCTCCCAATGAGTATGGACAGGACAGCCCAGGGACAGACAGGCAGGGTGGGCAAGGTTGCTGGGCACAGGGAGAGGAATAATCTGCCCCCTGGGGGAGCCTGTTTCATTTTGTGGCACAGATTCAGTGAGCAACTGGTTTTGTCCAAGGCATTTCTACAGTAGAAAAATAGCTATATTTGAATCAAACCACTCAACGGTGACACCTCTGGAGAATAAAAGTTGGAGGCTGAGCGGAACTGAGGGGAGAGAGGCTCATGGGAGGAAAGGGCTCCCTACACCCCCATCTATCCATCAGAGCAAGGGAGTTCTAGTCAACCTCCCAGCCTCTGCCTGGCCGCAGGTCCAAGGCATGTAGTGTTCAGTGTCTTGCCACAACTGGCACAGATGCGTGAAGACCCCTTCCAGGCCTCTGTTCCCTTCTTCTTGAACCCCTGAGCCTGCTTGCTGCCCCAGGAGTGGCTGCCATTCTTTGCTACAAGAAAAGCGTGGTGCAGAGCCACAGTGACACCTAGTGGTCAAGTATGGTGAAGCACAGGTGACGTCCACATATCCCACCATGTATGACTAAAATCTAAGGAAAAATACTTACGGATATTAGATACTGATTTTTAATTTTTCTATTGGGTACATCTCTGGAATATAAAAATACCAATATTTAGGGGATCATAAACTACAATATAAGGACTGAGAACACCTTTCTCTAAGCTGTTCTGTTTACAATAATTTAGGAAAAGTGTTTAGTAATCCAGGCTTAACTAAATTAGCAAACTGGTATATCTGGACAACAACCTAGGGTACTGTACATGATTCTAATTAATGGAGTTTTCCTGAGCCATCAAGTTTAAGTTAAACACATCTAAAAAGAGGGGCACATGGGAGAGGAACAAGAAGGGTTTGTGCTCCATTAACTTGGGACTTTAATAGCGCACATCTGCAACCTGGACAGGATACAACAGCAGATACAAAATGGGCTCCATTTTGTCCATGCCAAATTCTCATGTTACACAGGTTTTCCCTTTACTTTGTAAATAAACATTAATTTTAATTGTTAATTGTGTGCCTTACTGATCCAGTAAATAAAGTAACCATGTCTCAGGAGTCCCTAAGAAAATTGCTGGAAAAGCACTTTAAAATCACTGCAAATATTTTTTTGTATTAAAAAATTCTTAATCTTTTTGATGCTTATATACAACAGTTATTTCTTGTGCTATAAATGTTGTGATCCACTGCTTGATGTCTTTCTTTTCCTTTTCTTGAAAAATACACTAAAAGACAAGAGTGGTTCTGCTATTTTCTAATGACGACATTACTCACACTTAAATATCCAGTTATTTATCAGAGTTACAAATTCAAACAGTAAAGTGCACCCATTTATAGACATGATGTGATAGAAACCCATTAGTGCAAGAATTCTGGGCAAACAGAACATACAATTTGGTGAGAAACCTATAAGCTGAAGTTTGTCACCTCTGTCCTCCATTTCAGGGTGATGTGAATTGGTGAGTGGAACTTACCAGTTAACTTCCCCTCACCTGAAGCCAGACATTGATTCAGTAAGTGTTTGTCACTGGGGAAGGGGCATCTCTAAAGTACAGTACTAAGATCATCCATGGCAGTGAAGTAGCAAACAGGGCACAGGCAGTCTGCTTGTAAGGAAAAACTGTGTCTCCTGCCCCAATAAGCCTCAGTCATTCTCTAGTCAAAAACTACTGGCACCAAGTAGTGATATTCACTCCCCTTTAAACTTCCAAAAAAAAAAAAGAAGAAAAAAAATAATTGCATTTTGACTGTTGACATTTTAGGAGTTCTGCCTAATAGGGTATAGATCCTAAATGTCCCGTTTGTCCTGAAAAACAGACAGACCTTGGGGAGAAGTGGCATCAGTGGCAGATTTATAAAGCTCCAGAACCTGCATATCCACCTGGTCAAGTTGAGTGCAGGTGGCATGTGTGGAATTCCAGATAAGCCAGGGTGCTTTCCTAACAGACTGAGGAATTCTTTGAAATGTAGCAGCTCCTCAGCGAGAAGTGGTTATAAAGGAATAAGATTCTAAGAGAACAACAGGGCTGAGACCTGGCCAAAAAAGGAGCTGAGGCTTCTGGGCTCTCAGCTGTAGGATGCTATTGCTGAACATCCCATCTTCTTGGGTGTGTATGCGTGTGCAAGAGAGAGGACACTGATGCCTACCCTGGCATAGCTGAGGAGGAGCCAGTCTTTAAGCATCAGAGAGAATGGAAAGAGTCTGGGTCTTGAGTTAACCCAGCTGTTTGCTTCCAGCACAAAGAGACAAGACCTGGCCTATTTTAGGCTTGAAGGTGGGGGAAGGGGTCCATTTATTAGGTAGACTCTAAATTAGTAAAGAAATGATTCTGATTTCAGCTTCATGTTCTCTTCAGAGGTCACTTACTATTACAAAAGGGTCTGATCACAGTTGGATTTTTATTCAGGAAACTGCCCTCCCTGTGGCCCTTTAATAGTAAGAGCGGAATGATTCCTAATAACAGAGAATTAATGCTCTTCTGTTTAGTTTGTTGAGTTGTTTAGTTTTAACAGCTGATGAACAGCCCATACCAGGCCTGTGCTAAGGCTGTGGTTTCAGTGTTCCTGTTATCCATTAATTGTGGACTCTGTCCCTCAAAAATCAAGTTAGCAAATGACCATGGGACCTAGAAGATATGTAGAGAGTGATCAGATCAGAAACCTATTGTCTCATCACATGCCTCACCCATGGCTAGAAAATGGGGCTGAAAGGGGTCTGTCTTCACTCTGAAACACTTTTTGCTGTGTCTGATTGTAAATATCACACATCCTAACTACTCCTAGAAAAAGAAACAATTCCAATAGATAATAGAAGTATAGATCTCAAAACGGAATCAGATAACTGGCACGGACTGCAACAATCTGGGTGCAACTCTGGGAATCAGTCCCAAGAGAATCCAATTTGCTTCTGAAAGAACTGATTTCTTTACCATACCTTCTGGATTTAAAAACAGAGGGCCAGTAGAACAAAACCTGGCTCTAGGTGAAGATCCAACTAACAGAATTATTGTACCAAATCAACCTTTGGGAAGAATTTGCTTTGTATAAAATATAATGCTTAGTGATGTGTCAGGATCTGAAAAGTATACTTCTCCAAGATAGACCTTCTACAACCTTTCTGGATTGACAATCCAGAACAGTCTTTCTAGTTCTACATATTTATTCCCTCCCCCACTTCTCGAAAGTCAGCTTTTAGTGGTTGTTGGTTAAAAACCTAGAGAATAACTCCCAATGAATTATTTTTAAATAGCCACAGTTTTCAACTAATTTCCTTGGCTAACTGAAATATTTTAAGAGTAAGTTGTTTTTTAAATGTTCCTAAAATTCCTCCTGGAAAAACAACGTAGTGACATTTCAAATAATCATATTGGGCTTTTCTTCCAATTTAGCAGATTTATTTCCTTTCTCTCTCTTTGATCCTTTTACCCCATAGGAAGACCAGCAGGAATCCTAAATGAACATTCTAGACCTGATGCCTGCAGGAAGCTGGCAGTCTGGAGGGGGGGTCATGGCACAAGAATGCACTGGGGCTGCCTATGTGGATGACACTGGCTAAGAAGGCAAAGGGGCATCACACTCTTTCTAAAATTCCTAGAAGAAAACGAACAAGAACATCCTATTTTTTTAAAAAAAGGAAAAAGACATTTACACAACAAGAACATCAGTGAAAGCGATTGTCTCCTGGAAAAAGCTGAACAGTGTGTCTGATCTCCCTGGGTTAAAGCACACGGCAAAAAATCTCCTCGTTGGCATCTGAAGAGAGGGAGAGAGCATGTGGCTGGGGCACAGACGAGAGATACTGAAGTCCTGGCTCACTGGAGGCCAGCTTCCCAGTCGGCTGCATGCAAAGGATTTCAGCATGTGGGCTGCCACCTCTGAACACCACACAGAACTACATGAGAAATTAAGCCAGAGAACTACCTCAAATGTGGAAACCAAGCCTGAAAATGTGCAGTGAAAACATATGGGTCTCACTCCAACAAACGTCTTTTAAACATTAGACTCCACAAATGGTCTCTTTGGTTTGATAGGGGATGTCTGCCCTTGTCGAGAGTCTCGGGACAACTGCCTATAAAGGTTGTCCTGGTATGCCTGAGCCACAGGTAGGGTCCGAGCCACCTTTACATCTGGATAGGAGGAGGCCTGGCTGACTCTCTCCAAGAGGTCTCCACGAGACCCATTAGCCAGCATCCCATGGGGGCTGTAATAATCGTCCTCCAGCAAATGGCCATTCTGTGCATTGTTGGTTTTGTTATAAAAGGCAATGTTGCTGATGGATGATGGTGGACTGAAGGACTCAGGCTGAGGCAGGTTGCCTGGAGATGTGGGACTGAGAACGGTATCCACTGATGACACTGCCCAGGTCCGATTCTGCTGGTGAAGGTGGGGGTACTGCTGAGTCCGGGCTGTTTTATCTATGATCCCCATGAATGGTGTGGTCCTGGATCGGGTGGGCTCACTGGGGTAACCTCCTTGAGTGGGAGACACTGGTGACAGCTCATCACATGACCTATCATATGCCGGTTTCAGTGGGATCTCCATTTGTTGAATTGAGGAAGATGGCCGGAAGGAAGGAGCGAGGTTGGAGGTGGATGAGATACTATTGCTGGATGGGGAGAATCGAAGGCCTACACTTTGGGAGTGCAGCAGTGGCCTGGGAGTTGGTGGGTGGGGCTTGATTTCATTAGGGTTGACACTGATAGGTCTCCTGATTAAATGTGAGACATCAGGGGAACCTAGTTGGCTGGAGGACCGCTCCAGATCTAGTTTTGAGTGACAGACTGGGTAATAGGATGCTGACTGGCTACGCCCAATCTGTGGTGTCTGGCTGTATCTCACTCCACCTCGATATGCTGAGGAAGGTCGCTGTGGAAGGTCTTCTTTGGTCAACCCTCCATGCTGACAGATGGCCCCTGCACTCAGGCTGGCTTGGACATGCTGCACTGGTCTCCCATCTCCTACAATTCCCCCAATTGACCCTTGATAAACCAATCGGCTCTGACTTACTCCTATGTCTCCTTGTGAAGACTGGTATTTGCCACCCATTGAATGGGCTACCTGGCCATAGGCTCCTGTGGGAATTATGGTGCTTGAATGAACTGCTGAGCTGGGCTGGTTACTTCTCACAATCTGGGCCTTGGCGGGCTGTAGCCTGAGCCCTTGCTGGGGAACCGCCACAGGGAGCTGAGGCATCTGGTAGGGCCGCTGAGTCATTTTGGATAGTGGAGATTTAGGTCTGCCAGGAAGTTGACTGACATTTGCTTCTTGCTGATAGCGTACAGGTGAACCGGACTGGGCTCTATAGACACTCATGCTTTCAGCTGGAGGGCTGGCCCGATACTGAGGGCCTCTACGGAGAGGAGAAGGGGGAGGGCTTGGGTATTCTTTGCTCTGCCCTCCCACAGGAGGGGGGCTGAAACGGTAAGACCCACTCTGATGAGCTGGGGAAGTATGTGGTGGACTAGGCCTGTAATGAGAGTTCTGATGCGTTGGGGAAAGAGCAGGGGAGGTGGACTGGTAGCTCTGCCTAGTGGGAGAACCTACAGAACTACTGGAGCGGAAGTCAAAAACCTGATGAGAGCCAAGAGGTGAGCTAGAGATGTAGGCTGAGTCCCGATGGGCTGGAGAGGATGGAGGGCTCTGGATTATTGGGAGCCCCTGACTGGGCCGAGCCTCTGTCTGCAGGCCAATAGAAACATTTTCAACATCCTGTTCCAGGTACTCCTCCTCAAATATATCTTGTACAGAGTATATATCCTCATGCTGCGGCTCAGGTTCGGTTTCTTCTGGGAGCTCCTCTGGAGGCTGCGGCTGTGGTGGCTGCGGCGGCTGTGGTGGCTGCGGTGGCTGCTGCATCTGTCTGCACTCTTCTTCCACCCTCATCAGAAGTCTCTGGATCTCACGGTTGTTTGGACATAGCTTGATGGCCTCGTTCAGGTCCTCTAAGGCTGCTGCAAACTGTCTGCTTAACAAAACGCAAACACAGGAATTGAGTTATTCTGAATCACTAATGACTAAGAACAGGGTCAATATTTCAGAGAACTGTGGTGGCATCTGTGGGAGTCTGGGGTGTTTTGGGTTAGTTTGGTTTGTAAGGAAGGAAGCAAATAAACTGTCATTCTAGAAGAGTCCAGGACGATTCCCTTGCCCACTCAGCCTCCATCTTCCTTCTGGCCTCTCTGGGATCAGAGGAGAAAAGTCCCTGTTGTGTCAATCCAGCCAGGCCCTTCAGGAAGATTCTCTTAGTGTCCAAATGCACACCAGGCAGTATGAGGGTAGGATGGGGTTGTCATTTACAGGGTCACTGTCAAATAGCTTAGGAACAAAACAGTAACTACAACATTTAAAAATCTTGCTGATGCAGCAGAAAATTTTCTTTATATTCTGAAGAATTTGGCTCCAAATTTCAGGCCTATTCTATCTTAGGCAAGAATCTGTCCTCTGCCCTTTCTAGCCCTCACCCCACAGCACTGCTGCGTGGTCACTCACTCTGTCTAAGCAGGGCAGGGTATTAGGCAACTCAGGTCTGGAGCTGAGCTGACTCCAAGGAGATTCTAATTTACCAATGAAGAAATGAACTGCCAGAGATAGTCCCATCTTCTCTATTAATATCACCTGAAAAGGGGACACTGGCTGTGTGGGAAGGAACAATCCAGAGGGAAAGTATTTGCTAGTCAAGCTGCTGCAAAACCTTTGATATCCTGGCTAGTTAAGAATGATACCACTGCCATCATCATCACTAGCCTCCACCTGGGTTTGACATTTAGGACATACATCCCCTGGTCACAGCAACAAATGCAAAGCAGTTCTTTCCCATGCAGTCTGGGAGAGGGTAGGGTGCTGGGCAAGAGGCATCAAGGACAGTGACAAGGTATCCAAAGATCATTGATGGCAGATTCTAGGTCCTTCTGGAGGCTTTCCTTGCCTGGTGGCCAAACTATAGCAGATGGGGACAAGGCATGCTGGAATAATGTTTCTCTTGGATCCCATCAATCCTGGCAGCAAAGACCTCTTGACTCTGTGTGTGTGTATATAGTGTGGTGATGGTTTAGGTGAGAAGGGGGTTTGATGCCACCAGACTTGAGGAGAGACCCAGAAGGAAGATTAAATAATCCAGGGGTTCCCTAAATGCTTGTAAGAAAAGAAAAAAGGAGTTAAGTGACCCATCCTATTTTTCCCTCTAAAAGGGCAGGTAGGACCTCTTCTAAAGTGACCTCTTCTTTGAGTCACTGTGGTCTATTTATGCTGTCTGCTTTGGGGACGAAAAAGTAATTGAGATATGGCAGAGGATTCTTGGAAGGTGACATTTTCCAATGAAAAAGCATTTTTTTCTCCCAAAGTAAAACATTCTTGGTCTCTGTAGCCCAGAAGATTTGCTGATCTTCAGCTGAGCACTGTGCTATTGGAGCCATCCCCAAAGCCTGGCCTAAAAGTCCTCAAGGACAGAGACATATTTGGGTACATATGCCCCAGGGTGGCCTACATTGCCTTGGCCAAATTTTCAGAGAAGAGACTTCTTGCTTTTCACCCTTCCTCTCTCTCCTCACCTGCTGCTGCGCTTTGCCCTTGCTCTCGCATAGTAAGCTTCATAAGATTTCGGTTTCAGCTCCAGGGCCTTAGTAGCAAATTCCTCCGCCATTCCAAAATCCTGTCATTATAATAGGTGTGCAAATGAGTCATTGAAGAGATATAAAGAATAGACAACTTGGGAAGAAAACAAATTATTTGTACATTTCTTTGACATTTAGGGATGGAACACCTGGGACTCTGGACATGCCTGACATGGCCCTAGCCATGTGGCCCATGAACTGCTCACAGGACTTCATCTGCCCAGAGTATTAAAATATTTTAGATTTGACCTCTTTCTGCCTTTCTAATAAAGTTCTTTTCAGCCCAGAAGCCAAATGCTGACCCTTTACCACAAAGCTCCGGAAATCGGAAATCTTACTCATGTAGGTATGAGGCAAATGCACATACAGACACCTCATGGACCCTCATCCTGGCCCCCTTGAATTTCTAAGGGACAAGTAAGAATGTGTCCTGTGAAATCCAGGAAGACGGTGTCTCAGTAAAGGAAGAGAACTGCACTGTCTAGAGACCAGATGGAGCAGGGACACTGGACAGACCTGGGTTCAAGCCTCTGTTCTGTTTTACGCCTTGGCAGAGCGTGCTGTGTAGTTTCTCCTCTGTGCCTACTTCAGAGGCAGAACTAAGCACAAGAAGTTTAGAAACACTGCACTGTTCCTAGCACACAGGAGGTGCTCAATAAATTGTAGTTTCCTGTTTCACATAGGTTCTCTGCCTGCTTCTTCTCTTAACTGCTTCTTTATTTAAAATATATTTAAATTATACATATATGAAAAAGCAGATGACCCTGCTGTAATGTGGGCCTGTGCTATTCCTGGAGGCTCCCTGGAGGAATGTGGCCTCAGAGATATTGGTCCTCACTCCAAAGGCCTCTGGGAACAGGGACAATGCTGACAAGGCTATGTCCATAGTTTTTAAGATCCCCTTAAATATTAAGCTAAAAGAAAAGATTTTCCTTTCTTTTACTGTTAAAGCCATAGTACAGCTTTGGTGGCCTCTGGTTATTCTCAGGATTCCTAAGCTGGACATCAAGGCCTTAGACAGAACAAAGGCCCTGGGGCATAGGTAAAAATTTAGAAAAAATGGGAAATTCTCCACCAAAACCATCAAACTTCTGGTACTTAGCATAGAGCTGTCCATGAATAAATGTGGAGCTACTCTGTTTCCCATCGTACCCTTTTGCTTTTTTCTTTTGAGATAATCATTATTTCTGGGACTATTCATTTATTTAGGAAGTAGATTACTTGCTAGGGATAAAGAGAAGTCAGCAGGTTGGTAGTGACTTTTCATCTTTGCCTCATTCTATAGTAGCTGGTGCCATGGAGACCCTTGGTTCCATTTCTTATGTTTTGCATGAGAAATTACAGGCATAATGACCTCACTGCCTTTCCCTGAGACTGTCCCCTTCCCTCCCCAATGGAACCTCTTCCATGTCCCTATTTCCTTCAGACCCTGGGGCATCTCTGCCTCCTAGAGCTGTGACTATGTCCTCTGAGATAGTCATGTTTATCCCAGGGCTGTTTTCCCTTTTTTTATTTTGTTGAGATAAAGTCTTGCCCTGACACTTGGGCTAGAGTGCAGTGGTGTCATCATAGCTCACTGCAACCTCAAACTCCTAGGGTCAAGCAATTGTCTTATTTGCCTCAGTCTCCCGAGTAGATGAAGCTACAGGTGAATGTTACCACATCCAGCTAATTATTATTATTATTGTTATTTTTTTGGTAGACATAGGGTCTCACTGTGTTGCTCTGGCTGGTTTCAAACTCCCGGCCTCAAGCAATCCTCCTGCTTTGGCCTCCCAAAGTGCTAGAATTATAGGTGAGCCAATGTGTCCAGCCTCAAGGCTCTTTTCATTGTCAGGTTTTAGGGCCTGGAATAGATGATCTAAAGCTCATATATGCAAATCAGCTTCCTGGAATTGAGGGCGATACCTTCCTACTGAGGTGAATTTTTTCTTTTCTTTCTTTCTTTTTTTTTTAGAGACAGAGTCTCACTTTGTCATCCTTGGTAGAGTGCCGTGGCATCACAGCTCACAGCAACCTCCAGCTCTTGGGCTTAGGTGATTCTCTTGCCTCAGCCTCCCGAGTGGCTGGGACCACAGGCCCCCGCAACAATGCCCGGCTATTTTTTTGTTGCAGTTTGGCAGGGGCTGGGTTTGAACCCACACCCTCAGTATATGGGGCTGGCGCCCTACTCACTGAGCCACAGGCACCACCCAATTTTTTCTTTTTTTTGAGACAGAGTCTCACTCTATCCCTCTGGGTAGAGTGCCATGGAGTCGTCATAGCTCACATCAACCACAAACTCCTGGGCTCAGGTGATCCTCCTGCCTCAGCCTTTCAAGTAGCTAGGATAATAGATGCCCACCAGAACACCTAGCTAAGTTTTCAATATTTAGTAGAGATGAGGTCTTGCTCTTGCTCAGGGTGGTCTTGAACTTCTGAGCTCAAGCAATCCACCCATCAGCCTTCTAATGTGCTTCAATTACAGGCATGAGCCACTGTGCCCAGCCCTCCCACTGAGGTTTAAATCTTGCTTCTGTACAGCTGGGTTCTTTATTCATCAACATTCCCGTTTAGCTTGGATTATTTATAACTCCTGAGGAACTCTGAGACCTCTGGCTGCTGGATGTCAGAAATTCCTGACACAAACTTGCTACTCCCAGGATCTGAGAGAGGTTTCTTGACCTGGGAATGTCTGCAAGTCAAGGGAGCAGTGGCTGAGGGAGCATTGGCTGAGGACATCCAAGACTGTATCTGTAAGGCAGGCAAGAAGGACCAAAACCTAGCAGGGAGAAAACAAAGGGCCAGGAAGAGCTCTAAGATTCCCTCTAGGACAAAGAGGGACATGACATGCTTGAATAGAAAGATGAGGAAAGAAGTGAAAAGTTCAAGAACAGCCTTAGAAATTAAACCTTGAAGTCCATGGTCCTGAGCCCTCTTTCCAGTCTTTCCTTAAATGACTAGGAAATATACTAGAAAGGAAGGGAATGATCAGAATCCATATTTAATTGCTGCTGGAATTCTAGTGACTTCTGCTCTCACATTTTCTCAAAGACCAGAAAATTGACTTGGGGGCATAAGGGTAGGGATGATGGTATAAGCATCTTCAGTGGGAATTATGGAAATTCAGAAAGTTACAAAGTACTTGCAGCATTAACTTTTTTACAGTTTGAAATACAGATTGTACTTAGACTTGCTTTCTTTCAAATTGCAAATGTCAGTGCTCTGTGAAGGACAACCAAGTTCCAATTGGGGCAGAGAAGGATTTCAGGGGCCTGGTAAAAACTAGTGAATGACAGGGATGATTAACTTCCAGGACTGCAAAAATGAGTCGGGATGAGAGGAACTTACGTTCATTTTCCTGCGACATCGAGAGAGGTTGAGGAGGAGAGACACCTTTAGTTCCCGGAAGGTTTTCAAGTCCTCACCAAACCCTTCTCTAGGGAACTTCTTCAGAGCGTACTGGTAGCGCTGGGCAGCTTCCTTTACTTTACCTTTCTAATGGGAGTACAAGATGGCAAAAGACACTGTTGGTCTGCTGAGCAGATGAAGAAGTTTGGTCCCTATTCCCTGCCTTCTCTCAGCAGTTGTTATGAAGGGTTAACCCTCCCAAACACCAGCCTAGGAAGTAGGTCTGGCCCTGACAGTCAGAGAAGAAGGGGCTAGTCTTTTCTACAGGAAATTTATCTTACAGGAAGGGTAAGGATGAAGGGAATACTCAAGATACAAGCCAGACAAACAAAGCCTTGGCAAGTGGAAGGCCTTGGACTCCAGCTTTTCAACTGGTTCCCAAAGGGGCTGACATTGCTCATTTCAAAGTTCATTTCTCTTTCTTTCTTTTTTTTTTTGAGATAGAGTCTTAAGCTGTCACCCTGGGTAGAGTGCCATGGTGTCACAGCTCACAGCAACCTCCAACTCTTGGGCTTAAGTGATTCTCTTGCTTCAGCCTCCCAAGTAGCTGGGACTAGACACCCGCTGCAACGCCCAGCTAAAAGTTCATTTTTCTTGAAATGGTCCTCACTGGGACATGTATAATTTCCTAGTCCAGAGCATTCCATAGTTAATACTTCTTAATTTTCTGGCTTGTTTGGGGAACTCTTTTCTTCTCTGATGCTCCACCTTCCTACCCTCTAGAAGTCATTCTCTTCCTCACAAAGGATAGAGCTAAAACAGTCTAGCTGTTGCTTCTCTAATCTTATGGCATAAAATAAAACAATTACTTTCCACTGCTTTTGGAAAAGGGAGGAAGGGGATAGTATAAAAGTAAAGCTTATAATTTGTTATTCCATTTTACTTTGTAGAGATTTTCCAGGATGAAGTAAATCTGTGATCAATTTAGGGATCTGACCACAGTAACCTTGAACTCTGAAAATCTATTTTACTTTAGCGCCTTTCATTAAAGAGGTATTTGGAGTCTTCCAAGGTAGAATTCTGGGGAGAACAATAATAGCTCTATCTATTTTTTAAGGAGGTAGGACTTGTTTATTTATTTTTTTGAGACAGAGTCTTACTCTGTCCCTCTGAGTAGAGTACCATGGAGTCATCATAGCTCACAGCAACCTCAAACTCTTGGGCTCAAGTCATCTTCTTGCCTCAGCCTCCCAGTAGCTGAGACCACATATACCTACCACAGTACTCAGCTAATTTTTCCATCGGCATCCCAGAGTGCTAGGATTACAGGCATGAGCCACTGCACCCAGCCTAGGTGGTAGGTTTCCTTCCTTAACATATCAGAATTATTCTATAACCAGGAATGAGATTCTTGAGAATAATGCCATTCTGAAGTCCATCAATATGACATCTAGAGTAATGACTTTGAATTCATATGAAATAAAGGTTGGGCCAGGGCTTAAGCTTCCTGAGAGACCTAGATTACCATGACTGTTCCTTAAAAAGTACTTAGGAGACAGGACTCTGCTTCTAGTTACTGGTATACTCCTAACATGGGGGAAACAAGATACTTCACAATCATTTCCTCATCTTTTAGGCCCAAGGATATGGTACGCTGCCAAAAATTGGGTTAGATTTATATTCACTCTAGGAGAGGATAATCCAGCTAATCTTAACAAATGAGATGGCTCTGACTTGGAATATTCTTTTTTTTTTTTAAGAGACAGAGTCTCACTTTATTGCCCTGGGTAGAGTGCTGTGGTGTCACAGCTCACAGCAACCTTCCGCTCTTGGGCTTATGTGATTCTCTTGCCTCAGCCTCCTGAGTACCTGGTACTATAGGTGCCCGCCACAATGCCCAGTTATTTTTTTGTTGCAGTTTGGCTAGGGCCGGGTTCGAACCTGCCACCCTCAGTATATGGGGCCGGCACCCTACTCACTGAGCCACAGGTGCCACCCTAGACTTGGAATATTCTTAAGGAACTATAGGCCATGGGAGTTTGTGTTACAGTATGAAACTTTTAGCTTAAATTGTGTGTACAAAAAGACTCCACTTTTATTGTTGTTCTCGTTCAGTGAATAAGGTCAAGCAAATCTCATAATTGCTATGTGTCTTGGCTTCTTTATCTTATTCAAGGATGCTGATATCATCACTATAACTTTTAAATTTATGTCTATATTAAATATGCAAACTAAGATCAATAGACCAGAAATAGCTATACTTTATTTTTGCTTATCCTGTAATTTTCCAGATCCTGCTTAGCAGATTCCATGTAAAATCTATGTAACCACTTCTCAGTGGCCAGGTCCGACTCAGGCTTTTGGTTGATCAGCTGTAGGCATGCGCTGGCTACGATCACTGCTCTCTTGATGAGGCAAAAGTTCAGGATGTCCAACTTATGTGACCATCGCTGAGGAATGGCATTCTCTTTTTGCCTCTAGAGCAAATGATGGGAATTACAAAAACTTTGCAAGCTCCTACATGTAGAAAACAGTCAGTGGCTGTTTTGAGGAAACTTTGTTCCCCCTCCCCTCACCTTATAAAACATGTCCCCCTCTTCCATCAGCTTGCTCAACAGGATGATCATGATGTCTGGTTTGGAGGTGGCCATCGCCCATGTGGCTGGACCTGTAGTGTACAGGATGCATGATGGGTAAAAACTCATACAATGTAAGGGTGGTAGGAAGCTAGGTGAAAAAAATACCCTGGGGGAATTTCTGCTGAGAGAACAACTTGCTCTGCAATAATTACCTCATATTTTACACTTGGGAGTATTTTAGTGACTCCCACTGCCAAGAAGCTGCATTGGATTTGTATTCACCTTAAAATAAGAATATCTGAACTATCTGAACTGTCTGAACCTGCACCACAGGAGGGCAGCAAAGACTGTGTGTTGCATGTGGGCAGGCAATGGCCTAGTCTGAAATGATTTTACATAAGGAAATTGGAAGAAAGGGTTTATGTTAAATATCATCACAGGATTTAAAAAATCCAGAAAGGATAATTTATTTTGGATCTAGGACTCAAAACCCTCAGATGTTTTCTCTTAATATTAAAATATATACTTTGCAGAAGGGAAACTACTAAAAACTCTAAAGTCTCCCTTAAATTATAAATACCAAACAGGACTCCCTGGGATTCACTTTGAATCAGGAGCGTAGTTTGAATGTCAAAGAGACATGAAACAAACCAACATTATTGAGGACAACTTTACCCACAAAAAGAAAGGAAAGGTTAAGTTGATTAGTTTACAGATGCCTGAATTATTTACCAACTAAACTTTTCAAGGTTAGTTATCAAAAGTTCAAGTTATTCTCTACAACAGTTAATTTAAAAAAAATCTTCTTTTAAGGTGAAGTAAATTAAAAGATTAGAGGTGTAGGGAACTCATGCAGGCTAAACCAAAGAGGAGAAGGCAAAGCTGACCAAGCCATCAGACCACGCCTGATGCTGACAGCGGTGAAATATACCTCGTGGGCGACTCGGTAACGTCTGACAACCTTCAAAGAAAGGAGAAAACAAAAAGTTGTAGGAAAGGAAAAAAAAATGGATGAAGGTGAAAAAAACAAAGAAGGAAAAAGCAGCAGTGAGAGGCAGGCAACAAAAAAGCCAGCATATCAGCCAACCCTTGTCTATAGGTCTGTGGGATGGGGGAGCAGCTGGGACAGCGCAGCAGGGATTTGAGAGCCTGAAGCACATACAGAGCAAGGGAAAGCAAAGGCTCACGGCAGTGCAGAGATCCAGGGTGCTTACGGGCTGGGGCCAGGACAGAGGCCGTGCTAAGATGCGCTTAAGGCCAGAGCAGCCTCCTGGCAAAGGCTACGAGGGGGATGGCAGAGAACCCTACAATTCTGGACACAGGGTACTGCAGACTGTAGCTCAGATGGTGCTTTCTCTGGGCCAAGAGCCTCTCTGTTCACTTGGACAATAACTGGGCCAGGGCAGAGGGGAGCGCTATACATTCACACCAAATACCCAGGGCAGCCAGACCACTGGACCAGTCTGGCCCCTGGGCACAGATGGCCAACACCTTCTTCCTTTCTCCTACCTATCTTGGCTCCTTTCTTCAGAAGAGTGACAACGACAGAAGTGTTTCGGCATCCGACTGCCCTATCCAAAGGGCGCATTCCGCTGTAGTCAACATGCTCGATCATGGCTCCATGATCTACCAGGAACTGGACCTAGAACAAGAATGAAGCAGAACAATTAACACAGGTGTGATGGCTCAGCACTGCTCCACTGAGGGTTCTGGCTGCTACCTGCTCTTTTTCAACCGCTGGTCTGAACCAGGCTACGTAGCCATTATATTTCAAGTCTTTGCTATATACAGTCTTGATTTTTAATAGTGTTTTGAATATTCCTGACCTCGACCAAGTATAAGGTCTGAGAATTTTGTATCAGCAATCATCAGAACATTGCTGTACCTTCAACCCCAGATAGTGTTATGGATGGAGAACAATCCTACTCTCCTGAAGCTTGTTTAAAGGCACTCACCACCTCGGCATCACCATAGAAAGCTGCCAGATCCAGAGGAGTACGGCCATTTTTGTCAGCATGGTCTGTGGCAGCTCCATTGTCCACCAGAGAACGTACTACTGAGAGATGGCCCTTCAAACAAGCCCAGCTGAGGGCTGTCAATCCTTCTTTGTCCATAAGAGCAATGGAGGCACCTACAAAAAGCAAATGATAACACAGGACTTAGGAAACATGAAAATTCATAGCAGGAGGGAAAGCCAGTACTGAAGTATACCCTCTGCCAAAGAACACCTTCTGTTTCTGGACTAGTTCCATTTTAAGATTGGTTCTGGCATGTCGGTTATATCTCTGTGAAAAAAATTGATCCTATAAAATACAGTCTTTTGGTTTTACTGGGCAGTAAAGGTCTTCTACAATCTATTCCCAATTACTCTGTCTTTAAATTTCATTACTCCCCTGGAAGAATCCTTTCCTTTGGCCAAAAGGATGTGCTCACTGCCTCTAGAATCACTCATAAGTATTCCTACATCTTCACTTTTGCTTACATTGCTCCCTGGGTGGAATCTTTCTTTACCCATAACTTGCCTCCCTTCTACCCATTCTCTAGCAACTATCTCAATTCTCTTGCCTTGAAGAAGCTTCTCCCAGTTCACTGTTCCCTCATCTTAATCCTGCTTAATACATGTGACCTTATTCTGTTATTTATCCACTTTTATGTATATATGTAACAAATTCTCAACGAATGTTTTCTGAACTGAATGGAAGTCTTTCATTTATAATAATGGGAACCCCTTTAGAGAACCAGGACGTTTATCACTGATGATAGTATCAGCCACTTTCTCCCATCCTAGAAAGTGGAGGAAATGGAATACATGGAAGGACACCAAGCCCAGGCTCACAAGAAATTCAGCATAATCTAAGAAAGTTGAGCTTACAGAAATACAGAATAAAATGGTGGTTACCAGAGGCTGGGGGAGGGGAAGATTAGGGAGACATTGGTCAAAAACACGAAATTCACTTATATAGGAGAAATAAGACACCTACTGCACATCATTACAACTACAGTTAATAACGATATATTGCATGCTTGAAATTGTTAAGAGAATATATTTATATATTTCTACCACAAAAAAGATATATATGTGAGGTAATGAATATGTTAAATAGCTTGGTTTAGCCATTGTACAATATGTATATACTTGAAAATCTGAAATGACCCAAAATCCAAAACTTTTTGAGTGCCGACATGACACTCAAAAGAAATACTCATTTGAATATTCTGGATTTCAAATTTTTGTTTTAGAAATGTTGAAGTGGTAAGTATAATAAGTATAATGGAAATGTTCTAAAACCAAAAAATTTGAAGTCCAAAATACTGGTCCTAAGCATTTCAGATAAGGAATACTCAACTTACATGGAAACATATGGACCATAAATAGAGTCATGTTCTGGATAAGGATGCATTGGTCAATGAAGAACTACATATATGATGGTGGTCCCATAAGATTAGAATTCTGTGGTTTACTGTAACTTTTCTTTTTTCTTTTTTTTTTTTTTAAAGAGACAGAGTCTCACTTTGTCACCCTTAGTAGAGTGCTGTGGCATCATAGCTCACAGCAACCTCCAGCTCTTGGGTTTAGGCGATTCTCTTGCCTTAGCCTCCTGAGTAGCTGGGACTATAGGTGCCTACCACAATGCTCGGCTATTTTTTTATTGCAGTTTGGCTGGGGCCGTATTCGAACCTGCCTCGGTACATGAGGCCGGCGCCCTATTCACAGAGCCACAGGCGCTGCCCTACTGTACCTTTTCTATGTTTACATACAAAATACCTACCACTGTGTTACAACTGTGTGCCGTATTCAGTATAGCACATGCTGTCCAGGTTTGTAGCCTAGGAGCAATAGTCTGTGGCACCATTTAGCCTAGGTGTGTAGTTGGCTGTGCCATCCAGGTTTAAGTACATTCTCTGAAGTTTGCCCATCAACGACATAGCCTAACAATGCATTTCTCAGCATATTCTAAGCCATGCATGCCTGTATAAACAATGTTTTTCAGTTAAAAAAAAATAAAGAGTTTACTTAAACTATTCAGCTTTCTCCTATAACCTCATCCCCACCTTTTTACATTATTCTGCATCTGCTTCCATTCAACCTTTCTATTTTCATCTGTAAAGATCAAGCATACTTGACAGGCTGTTTTGTAATCAGTCTAAATTCAATATACATTTGGTTCTTAAGGCTTAGGCTGTTCTTCAATGGTGAGGAGCCTATCATTTCCTTGCTAGTTTTGAAGAGGACTTAAGAAAACTCTTCACGGCTCGGCACCTATAGCTCAACCAGCTAAGGCGCCAGCCACGTACACCTAAGGTGGCGGGTTCAAATCCCTAGCC